CCCACCCAGGGATCGAACCTGGGTTTTCTGTGTTACAGGCAGAGTCTTTACCGTCTGAGCCACCAGGGAAGTTCCACTGAACTGCTAAACTAACAGTTATTGTGGAGGGATACAAGGGGTTCACAAAGAATCAGACACGAGTGAAATGACTGAGCACACACATAACTTGAATTTTGGGCTGATCTTTACTGTTGCAAGCAAAAGTCATGGATCTAGATAGACGAAGTTTCAAAACTTGGTATACTACATATTATGTTGCATAAATAAACTATATCATTTTTCTATTTCATCAACAAGGGAATAAAAATCCCTACTCCACAATCTTGTTGTGAAGATCAAATGAATTGGGGGGACACATGTATACCTATGGCTGATTCATGTTGATGTCTAGCAAAACCCATCACAATATTCTACAGCAGCTATTCTCCAATTAAAATAAATAAATTAATTTTAAAAAAAAGACAGAGGAACCAGAGATCAAATTCACAGAGAAAGCAAGAGAATTCCAGAAAAACATCTACTTCTGCTTCACTGGGCTTCCCTTGTGGCTCAGCTGGTAAAGAATTTGCCTATAATGTGGGAGATCTGGGTTCGATCCCTGGGTTGGGAAGATCACCTGGAGAAGGGAAAGGCCACCCACTCTAGTATTCTGGCCTGGAGAATTCCATGGACTGTACAGTCCACAGGGTCACAAAGAATCGGACACAACTGAGCAACTTTCACTTTCACTGAGAAAACAGAAATCCTATTTCTGAGGGAATTCTCTGGCAGTTCAGTGGTTAGGACTCTGCACTTTCAATGACAAGGGCCCAAGTTCAATCCCTGGTCAGGGAACTAAGATCCCACTAACTGCACAGCATGCCCCCCTCCAAAAAAAAGAAAAATATCCTAATTCCATGATTTGGGGAGGATCTTGTAATTTAAGAAAAGTTGGGTTGGGTGTTCTATAAATAAATTCTGGAAAAGGTACACAAAACACTGTAATCAAACAAAACTGGGTCAGGAGGTCTCAGATTCAACTTCTTCTGAAAGTGACTAACTTCTAACCCTGGGCAAGTCATTCTATCTCTGAGCTTCAGTTCCCAATGGNAAAGAGTTGGACATGAGTTAGCAACGGAATAACAACAAAATCATGTACCTGGACCACTGTAGTTACTTAACAAATACATATCCCTATTCTGTAACATTATCTTTCTGACACCTAGCTCTCCCATCTTATTTTCTCCCTAATGAAAATCTATTTTTTTTTTATTTTATGATAACAGAATCTTTTTTTCTTCCTTTTTAGGAATCTTCTCTCCTCCATCCTTGAGCTATGGAGTTTGACTGAGACTCTATACCACCTCCTATTTCAATTCCCAGAAAAGATATGTGTCTGACCTACATTAGTAATGAACCATCTTACATAGCTCTGATCCAAGCCAGACTACTTGGATCCAATCCCTGGAAATGTGAGGAAAGAGACAGACTGGTTTGATGGAGTTTCCAAACTGTCAGACTGTAAGACTAAATTTGATGATGTCCATCATTGCTATAATAAATAGTGAAATCTAACTTGAGAATGAAGCCAACTTGGGGGAAAAACAGAACTAAGAGATGTAAAAAATCAGTTAATATTACTGTAAGCCAGTAGGGACTCAATACAGTTCTTAGGTGTCAGGCATATAACCAATTCACAAGAAACATCTCATTTAACTAAGTAGGTATTAATTATCTTCACTTTACAGAGGGGAAAAAAAAAAAAGAGGCACACAGAACTAAACTTACCCATGGCACCTTACTTAGTAAATGGCAAAGCTAGAACTCATACCTCAGTATCTTTGAGCCCCTTAAATTCCAAGCTATACTGCCTCCCAGTATAATTGATTTCTGATGTAGTAAAGAACAAGACCATTAAAACAGTTAGTTGAATAAAAATACACCTATTCTATTTAGGGCAATATTGTGCTAAGATACAATTTATAAGATGCCCTAAACATGCAAATCAATTTTGGAAGCAATTTAAACTCCTTGGAAGAGCGTTCATATGTATGTCAGTATAATGGTACTACAAATAACCACCATGAGCATAAGGATAAGGTCTTACATTCCATAATTGCTTTACAATTACCACTGACTACTTCCAGGGGTAGGAGTGCTATTGTCACCAAAAATAAAGATATGCCTTAAGTGCACTAGGTGATGAGGAAAAGATATGAATTCATCTTAATTTTTCTCCATGGGAAATGCTCTATTATTATCCAGTGTCACATATAAGTTCGGCACTATAAAAGTGCCCCTCGGTCCCCTCCACACTCCCACAGCCAGGCTTTAAGCAGAAATGATTAAAGAGAACTTCTTTCAATTAAGCTTGCTGAATAATCCTAGATAGCCCAATAGTTCTTATATAATTAAAAAAAAATACTAATTTCCAAGAGTTTAACAAATATTGCTTGGATTGACACCTTCCTGCCAGCCGTAGGATGTTCCTCAGAGTCAGAAAATACAGACCATGTGGCCAGAGACTAATGTATTTCATCAACCGTCATGTGCACTGTGTAATTTACAAAGTCTCATGCTTTCTCTGGAAAATGCAAAGGGGCCACTTTCCAAGCCCAGTTGGAAGGATACACACACAGGCATGGTGGCCAAAAGAGCCTTGGGTTTTCTACTCATCTGCCTAAAACAGGCTAGATTTCCAGAGTTCATAGCTCCAGCCCAGAAAATTTCCAAGAAGTGGCAGAGTCCACTAATTCAATCGATTATGGGCTCTGAAGCTATTCTGCCTGAATCTTAATCCTGGCTTTGCTGCTTTCTGGCTGGGTGACCTTGGCTAAATTATTTAACCTCCCCATGCCAAAGATTCCTTTTCTGTTAGGGATGATAATGCAAGGCTTACTTCATAAAATTGTTCTGAGGATTACATCGCTTAAGTTTGAATAATGCCTACCACAGTGTCAGAGCTTGAATGAAGAAGAGGTCTCTATTCCCAAAGGCAGAGGAAGGGTATCATTTATTTCACTCAACAGACAGATTAATTAGAATTTATATATGATAATGTATAAAGTTTTTATAAAGATGATGATATTACATGTGGTTACAAGGACTTGGTATAATATTTGTATAATAAATAAAATTTGTATAATAATATTTATGTAATAACATTTGGTCACAGATGGAAGACCCCCATTCCAAGAAGAGATAATGGGTTTTCAATTACTACCAGCCAAAGCAATGATGGAATTGTTTATATCCCCCAAATGTGTGTAAATTAGCCCTCAGTGAGCTGAAAAATACTGTGTACCATGTACCATTTAACATAGGAAATTCTCTCATCTCACTTTCCTTTTTTTTTTTTTTGATCAATGTTTTTCTTTGTTTCAGTCAGTTGGAACAAACTTCTCTCCAGACTTTCATGAAGTTTTTATCTTCCACTCCTTGGTCCATGTCCAAATGTTTTCAGTTACTTGGAAGCAGGACTTAAAGAAAGATCAGTCTCTCATACTTTCTCATTGGTGAAGCATTGACTCCATCTCCAGGTTAAATGAGGGGAACCACATTAATTTATTTTAGTCTTTATTTATTCTGTGCATATTATTATGTATTTATTCTATGAACATATAACACCCAATAAAGGAGGAAATGAAAATAAACAAAGCAAAACATATGGACCCTCTTTCCAAAAAGGGACTTGATAAGGAGATGCACATGGAGATGCAAAGTGTCTCATGAATAAGAAACAAAATGAATAAGTGAGAAAGAGAAGAAATGCTGATCAGAAAAGGGAGATTCAGTGATAGTTAGAACTGTTTTCCCAGAGAAGGAGAGGCCAATTTAGATGCCAAAAACAAAGCTTCAGTCATTCCTGAGTGGAAGCAGCAGTGAAGAGATAGGTGACTTCTATGCAACAGAAACCCTATTTAGTCATCCATATCTCTGTGATGGGAGAAAAAAGTATCTTTCCATAGAGAAGTCTCTTTGTGTTATCTTTGAGCCAGTTTGTTTGCAAATGACTTGTCTTTCACTTTTTCAGAGGGTTTCACTAGTGTTAAGAGATTTATCTATTCTCTGGCTTTCAACTCCCACAGGAGTCTCAGGGCAGTGTTTGAGAATGAGAAAAATAAAAATGCATTCCTCTTTAAAGTGAGAGAATTGGAGTGGTGAGGGAAGCTATTAGGTACACGGAAGTTGCAAGGCTGATGAAAGATAGTGTGATTTTAAGAGAAATAAAAGGGAGGCAACTTTCACTGTCCTAGTTGCAGGAAGCTCATTGGCTTCTAAAAGGTTTTTGCATCAGTAATCCTCAATGATGTGAACAAAGGATATTTAAACTCTTGTTTGAGCTAGCTCCACAGAGCACTGTTTATACCAGCAGAAATCTGGAAGCAACCTAGATGCCTATTCCCTATACAGGTTAGATAAATTAGGGTAAGACAGAATCTCATCTTTTATATGATTTAGGTTGTAAATTCAAAAGGGATTGATAAGTAATATCAATATTACACTAGAATGTTTTGTATTTACACATGCTTAGGTATCCATAGAATGTTTATGGAAGGAGAAGTGAGAAACTAGAAACATTGGTTGCATCCCATATGATAAAAAGAATATTTAAAAGAGTCAAAATCAGGAATATGAAGAGGATCTGATTTTAGACTAATTAAGATCTACTTATTTACACTGAAAGTCTTTAATTTGAACATGCATTATATGTGTGTATAACACTTTTAGTAATAAAAATCACTATTAAAATGTTTTTAAGTGTCTGTCTCAAAGTTTCATCAAAATAAAACATTTGCATAGCTCTTGCTGTCATTAATCTCATTTAAAAAAAATAATTTATGATACTCCTTTAACATTCCCTTACCAGGTTTACCATTCCAATATCACCTCCTGCCCTATGGAATGTGTGTATATCCCAAACAGAACAGACTTCATGTGAGAGCTCTGGGTGGGAAGATACCAATGCTCATTTTTTCCAGGTGGTATCTCAAAATGCTAGTAAACAGAGTGAGACTTACCAGTAGAATCTGTTTGGTACAACCGCTTCCTGGATAAGCTGCCACCTTCTCCCAAATTCAGCAGAGCTGTATAACTGTAGAGAAGACAAAATATTCAGCACCAGGATGTCATGGTACACTGAACGCATAAAACATGATTCACTGGGTTAATGATAATGATAATAATAATAACATCTTCCATTTATTAGTCACTCTTCCTATGCCAGATGAGTGCCCCATGTATCATCTCTATTCTCCATGTAGATCCTGCAAGACATAGATATCTCCATTTTATAGTTGAGCAAACTGAAGCTCACGAAGATTAAGGGATTGGAAATCACATGTCCACTAAATATTAAAATATTTTGGGATTCATATCCCATTCTGCCTGGTAAGCTATACCACTGGCCCTGGAATATGCAAATTGGTGTCTGAAATACAAAGAAGTCCAAAATGTAGACTTGGTTTTCAGAAAGCCAATAATATAACCCAAATCTGACAAAAAATAATGAGCAATGCATGCNTCGGACACAACTGAGTGACTGAACTGAACTGAATCTAAAATTTAGATGAAAATGTGAGGGCAACTTGAAAAGGCTTTGAATGGCAAGTTAGGGAGAAGAAAATCCGGTCCTGCCGGCAGAAGGAGCCTGTGATGGCTTTTTAAACAGAGAGTAGAGGAACTTCAGGCTCTAACAGCAGCCCACATGGACTAAGCTCTTACTATAATTCAAGTGCTCCTCATGCATTCCTTCATTTAATCCACACACCATCCCTCCCAGTGATATATAAAGCTATTGTGGCCATTTTACCAATGGTTATACAGCTGGGGAGATTTCAAGTCCATTTGCTCCACTGCTACAATGCTCTCCAAGGGCAACCACAAAGAAACACTGCTCATGAGACAGGGCCTAACCCTCCACATGCTCCTTCCCCTCCAAATGTCTTTCTTCTCTTATATCCTGTTCTTCATTGCTGGCTGACCCCCACTCCTGCTCCTCTCCAGTAATTTTCACAGTACCATCCCCGGGATGGTTTTACAGGAAGGTTTTACAGGAACCTTTATATGTGGGTGTGCGCTTTTTTGTTGTTGTTGTTTGTTTGTTTTTTTTGCTGATAGAAGTGTCCTCTGATGGCAGCCCGGAGATTCCTATTGCTCGAGACATTCCAGTTCCCATGGACGTTTGACCAGCTGATTTGAAAATATCATTTTGGAACCTCTCTGTTCTGCTGTGTGCCTGGTCTGTAACCCACTCACATCCCAGTCACCCACCACTGCGCGTGCCAGATCCCACAGTGAATGGATGGTGAGTCAGTGCGTACTGAGAACCATGATTGTCCACCCTCTCCAGCCCCAGCGCTCAGTGGAGGGTCAAATGACTCACCAAGTGACTCACCACGGCTGCAGATGTACCAGGCATGTCCAAGAAGTAAGTCAGCTCAAGTGAGGATTTACTGACCCTTGGAAGAGCCTGCTACGACACTGTGTACACTGGATCAAAACACATCCTGAAGTCAAAAAAGAGGCTGAAGTATTTGGCTACCAAAGCAAGCAGCTCACTTGGCCCCAGCTACACAGTATTTGGGCATTCAGCCAGGAAGAATCTGTGACTTTTCCTTTCAAGTTTTATTATTTTTCCCTGCCCTGCAATGTTTGGGTTGGGGGAGGCTTCCTGGGTACATTTCATGCTTGATTCATTTTAAGAGTGCTGAGGAGAAAAGGGGAGACAGTTCCCCTCATAGAGGTAACAGAAGACACGACAACATCCTCCCTCTTAATTCAGATGCCAAGCAGACAGAGGGTGCATGTCCGGCTTCCCACTATGTCCTGAACACTTGCGTTTTAATATTCAAACTTGGATCAGAACAGTAATCATTTGATCCTGAGTATCTGCGGCTTCCTCCCTTCTTGCACCATCTTTTTTTTGAAACTTAAAACCCAGAGCTGCACTGCTTTCTATGAGTTCAAAGGGAACAGAAATCATGCCACTGTGTATGCCTATAGCAATTTATAAATGTACGTTAGTATCTATATTTATATACAAAGATTTATGCAAATCTAAGAGAATCAGGGTGGTTTGAAATAATAATAATTCTGTGTGAAGGCTAGACTCACATATATTCTGAAAATCATATATAAATTCTGAGCTCTCCTGCAGCTATACCAAGGGATTGCTATCTCTGTCTTCACATAGAATTCATCTCAGTGAGGAATTGCTGGGTGCCAGCATTTACGTGTGTGTTTGTGTGTGTGTTTTCCTCTATGTCTTTTTAAATTGATCCCTCTAGGCTTGGATGCAGAACCTGTGGACCAGTCAGGCATGTCCCATGATATTTGTTTTTATCCTCTTCAAGGAGATGCTTTGTTATTTGTGAGCATCTAGAGGCCCCTCAAGCAGTGGGTACATCAAACAGTCCAATAAACCAAGCCTCTCTTATTCAGCTCAGTGACATTTCTTAGAGTTTCCTATCTCAGAAGGTACCCTCTCATGTCAGTGGACTTGCCTTCTCCCCTTTCCATTCACACCTGGGCACATGCCCCCTGTCATGCCTGCCCTGGTGCTACCCACTCTGGCAGAGGTGGCTTCAAGGCTTGCCTACCACAGTGCCAGTCTTCTTTTTAGGTCCAGCTCAGAGGACATCTTTTCTATGAACCCTCTCCTACACACTGAGATTTCCTAGGAGACTCATTTCCAAAGAACTATGGTACAAGAAATGCTATCAGACTATAGTCCATATATTTAACTTTCTTAGTAGTGTTTCAAGAGAGCCTTTTATAATGCAAGACAGAAATCCCTACCTATCTAAACTCACTCTAAAATATCTGAGATCATCCCTTCCTTCTCTGATAAGATCACAAAGTTTTTATGTGTCTGGAATTCCTTCTTTTTGTATTTACACAGTGCCTTGTACATAGTAGATGACCAATGGGGAAAAATAAAGTATTGACTTTACATCATGCAAATTCCCTAGTGATGGATCTACCTAGTAAAACACTCAGGTTTCCCAAAGAATAGACAAAGGTAATTTAGCAGAGGAAGATGTTTTACTTCCATGGATCCATAGCTAGAGGGCTGTACTTAAAACCAACAAACAAAACTATAAATATCAGCACATTTGAAATTCCCAAGGACTTGAAGGCAGGGTCTTATATATTAACCCCTACACAGAACTGCTCTGTATACTCCACCTGCTACTTCAAACCTTTCCTCTCTAAAAATTTAATTGTCCAGCCTGATGTCACACCAAGAGAAGGAGAAAACAACTCATAGCCATCCAAGTTAATGTGTTCATTAAACCTGCAGAGTCTGACAGCAAAGTTTTCCTCCTCAAAATAGGGAGTGCTACCCAAGTCTTTTTTTTTTTTCACCCAGTGACTATCTCAGCCACCAGTAGAAGGCTTTCTTGTGTAGGATGAGTCAATGTCCTTTAATAAAATTCATAGCGGTGGCAGCACCTAAATATTTATTTCCCTCCCTGTCTCTCTCCAGCTCCAAGGTTTCTTTTGACTGTCAGAACACAGAACTGAGAACTATTATTACTATCTGTCACATCAGAGAAAGCATGCACAGCTTTCTCCAGCAGTGCCAAACCTAGAGAAAGAGAGAGGGTGAATGATCAGGGGGGCAGAAAAGAATATCTGAACTAGTTTTAGGAGAGCAGTGCTCATCTACTAATCCTCTATCATGACCTCCCCAGATACCTGCTTGGAAGGGTTTAGATCTGTTGTGCATTTTTTGTTTCTTGTTTTTTTTTTTTTTTTTTTTTACTAATCCTGGTACAAAATATTAGTGAAAAAATTGAAGGAGTAGACATTTTAGAAAGGAAGAGGGGAAAGATTCTGGTTAACAAAAGAATGCAAGGCAGATGATTCTCCCAGCTTAGAATCACTCTAAATTGTCTGAGACTGCCTCCCCATCTCAGTAAATGTAAGTTAATGAGCACAAACTCATTGCTCATATAAGCTCAAAATGTATTAGCAGCTCAAGGTCCAACTCTCCACTCTGATATTACCCTAGTGTGGGGGCTTTCAACACTTCTTCCTGCCATGTTCCTCCCCTGAAGAGTTAGTCAGTCCTTCTTTCCTTCTTTTTATTTTTTTGATAACTTGATAACTATCACATTGGCTTGTTTTCTTGCCATCTGTCTTTGTCTGCCATATGAAAAGTGCAGATAAAAACGTAATTAATTGCAAAGGAAGCAATTTCAAGGATTGGTTTTTATTACCAGCTTTCAACCAACTGTACAATCCTCTCTGGTGCCATCCTGGAGAGCTGCAAGTTGGCTGAGGGGCAAAGGCTCCAATGGAGAATAAAGAGGGAAGCCACAGGGGGACAAACAGCTTGGGGGTTGGCAAGAGTGAGATCCACCAACTATGCTCAGGATTCTTAACTGACAGCAAAATAAGAAGGGCTGGAAGAAGTGGGGTATGAGAGCAGCTCCTTCCAACTTTCATTTTCCATCTTCTTACCATTCACATTTTGGTTGAATTGCGAGCAGAATAGCATCTTTTTTTTTTTTAGTATCTTTTTTTAATAGAAATTCAGCTTCTTGTGGTGATGCAAAAGCTTGCAAGCATTGCTGTCCCTGGAAAGTCTTCTCAATTGTTCTAAATCAGATCAACGCAGCCCCTCATTTTATAGCATTAAGACAGGGACCTATTAGGAATGTTCTTTTGCAGCTAGGAAATCAGTGCAAGGACACCATTTGGCAAAAGGTAAGAGTGATAGCATGTTTCAGTCTTTGAAAGTGAAAGCTGCTCAGTCAAGTCCGACTCTTTGTGACCCCATGGACTATAGCCCGCCAAGCTCCTCTGTCCATGGGGATTCTCCAGACAAGAATACTGGAGCAGGTGGCCATTTCCTTCTCCAGGGGATCTTCTTGTCCCAGGGATTGAACCCAGGTCTCCTGCATCGCAAGCAGATTCTTTACCATCTGAGCCACCAGGGAAGACTTTCAGTCTTTGATGGGTTTGGATGCTTTCACCATAAAGGTCCCCATGGCGACCTTCTCATCAGGAGGCAGGTCCTCGGTCTCCTCCACAGGCTTTCAGGTTGGAGGAACACTTCCTGCGGTTGGCTCTCTTCAAGGTTGC